GGTCCAATCCCAAACCTCGGGTGCAGCACGGAGCAAGGCGATTGGCTGGCCCCTGGAGGAGGGGTGGGCGCAGGAGAGATGGCGCCTTCTCTTGTATCTTTTAGGCAGGCTCTCTGTAAGGGACCGAGGTGGGGACCTGGGAAACCTTGTTTGGTGCATTCACGTGGAGAGCGTTTGGGTGCACGGGCTGTGGCTGGCACAGCTGACAGAGGGCAGAAACGCCCAGGGGCCGTTGACTCATAAGTCTGGCCGGCGAAGAGTCATTTGCTCCAGTCTAAAGGGGAAGACATAAATCACGTGGGTCAGAGAGCTGCTCCAGCAAGATGGGCTAGGCCCCTGGTTGAAACTATCTTCGAGATAATGACTTTGTTTTACATTTTCCATGGGGAGAAAACGGTTCATTTAAGACACCTTTTAATCAAAACCTGAAGCTTTAATAATAGTTCGTTATTTACTGAGTACTTGCTATTATATATAGTATTATAAGCCAGAAAGTGTTTGGAACAGCTTACATGTTGTTTTCAATTCAGCAGACATCAGGTTCCTGCCATTAACACAGTTCAAAGTCTAGTTTATAGTATTTGGGTCAAAATTATTCTATGTACCTTACAGAGGTTTTTCTCTGGCAATGTGTGATTTGACAAAACTCTTTGGTCTACTAGCAACCCCACCCCCACCCCATTTCTTCATCGAGAATAAGACTTTTTAACCTATTAAGGGTGGCTGTAATAATGTGGATCTTTGAAAATAAAGAATTCTTTAAAGGTTTTGTTTTACAAAAAAAAAAAATACATGAAAGAATGCCAGGCGTTGGTGGCGCATGCCTTTAATCCCAGCACTGGGGAGGCAGAGGCAAGCTGATCTCTGAGTTTGAGACCAGCCTGGTCTACAAGAGCTAGTTCCAGGACAGTCTCCAAAGCCACAGAGAAACCCTGCCTCAAAAAAATCAAAAAAAGAAAAAAAGAATGATTTGAAAACAGACAATAATTAACACTCCATAAAATTCAATACAAAGTTGGTTTACTTCCTGGGCATATGTACAATAATACATTAAAAAACAATAGCTGAGCATGGTATTTCAAATTTGTAAGTCCAGCCCTCTAGAGGCTGAGGCAGAATTGTGAAGCAGTGGAGGCCAGCCTGGGTTAAATATGAGCTCTAGGTCAACCTAGATCCTTATTCTCTCTCAAAAAGCAAGCATACAAAAAAAAAAAAGAAAAGCAAGCATACATTATATCTATATGCATACATAAATACATGCATATACATTTATATATGTACAACTTTCAATAAGTATTTACTGAATTTTTTGCTACAAAAATTGGACATCTGATTAATATTTGATGAGACCTTATTTGACAAGGGCTTTACATGTATTGTCTTATTTAATCTTCACAGCAACCCAAAGAAGATACTTCAAAGGGTCTGATTCTGGTTGGTACAAAGTCTATTCAACCGGTTATACAAAGCTAATCAGAACCAACCCTGTTACCAGATTCCAAAAGTGGGTTGGATAGAAGTTTCCAACTACATTCCACTGTGACAATGTGTTGATTTCCCTTAATTCAGGAATATTTTTCCAGTCCCAGAGATAAAGTGCCAGTAAAAATCCTGTTATAGTTACCTCACAAGATAAAGATCAAGTAACTTGTTTCTTCTTCCTGTCTGTCTTTGCAAGCTTGAAAATACCTTTTTGAAACAGGAATCTAAACAGCCATTTCCAGACTCCAAACCAGCCAATATCCTTGTATACGTTCCAAACTAAGTCCTGCCCCTTTAAAATGGCACAGAAGACTGTCAATAATCCCATATCATCTCCAGTCCATTCACTGTCAATCACTCTTCATGTCTTGGTCACATGATAGCTGAACTGCAGGCAACTGTTCACATTCTTTCATATTTCTATATAATTCTGGAATGCTGTTGATTCTGCCAAGTTCCTTCTTAACCTGTGGAGGTGAAGCAGAATTCCACACAGAACTTACAATGACTGTTCTTGATTGTCAACTTCACCCTGAGTAGCTGCGTACACCCATGAGGGATTTTTCTTGATTGAATGATTTGAAATTAGAAGATTCACCCTAAATCCAGAGCTTTTGAAGTGGAGAGATCCACTTTAAGTCTGGCCACAACCTTTCCTGGCAGGCTGTACAGAAGAACATGGAAGGAGGAAGCACTTGCTGTTTTCCCTGCTTGCTCTTGCTGGCAACTTCATCCTTCACAGGTTAGAGCCTGCTTCTTCAGGGCTCTGGCATATACTGAAGAACAGCTGAGACATCCAACCTTGTAGACTGTACAACTACTGGATTCTTGGACTTCCCATTAAAGGACAGCCATTGTTAGACTAGCAGGACCACAGCCTGTAAGCCATTCTAAACACACACACACACATTATATTACATATAACAGTATAAATAACATAGTGCATATAGAATATATTAAATGAATATATGTATACATTTTATCAGTTCTGTTTCTCTAAGAACCCTAATATAGAATACATCTGGTTTGTAAACTCTTCCTTAATAAACTTGTACTATTCCATTTAACATAAAAGTATATCTTTATTTACATACTTTTTATTCTAGATTATAAGGATTTATTAGATTCACACTAGATTATGAAAATATTTAATAGAAACAGTGTACATAGTGCCTTATATACATTTGCCTAGCTAATATTTGCTTAATAAATCAATGAATACATAAACAGATAAAAGCTAACCGTCTGCTTAGTCTTCCATGACCACCAACTCTGGCTTAGTTGTTCCTCCTCTGTGCTCCCATAGCTTGGGGAACTTTGTGTCCAAAATGTTTATCATAGGACAGTTGCTCATTTACCTCTCAACACCCTCATTGCTCTGACAGACTGCTTAGCCTGTGTACCCTGTAGATTCAGCACTAAACACAGGGCTAATAACATAGGGACTACTCGATAAATATTTATTACATGAATAATTTCAGCTTGAAAACATCATTTGGACAAAACGTACTCTACCTAATAATTAGGAAGGCCCGTTCAACTTTCTGTCACTTAGTGCAAACCTTCCTGTTTACCAGAGAAGAGACTGGGTGGGTGGGGAGGCAGGCATAGGACTAGCTCAAATCAGAGGCATATAGCAGAGGAGTTATTAGCATTGAGAAAATATATGAATCTTGAAAAGGCCAGATAATAATGGCATGCTATTGAATCCTTCCCTTGAGGTCATTTGTGGTGTCCAAACAAATTGCAGTGGCAAAATGCTTAAGCACTCTTTAGGTTGGTATTTCTACAGATGGAAACTTTCAAGAAGACTGAAAGTTATAAAAATTTTTTTCAAGGATGATGTTTTATTTTGCATTTTATTTCTGTGATTAAAAACACCATGACCAAAGGCAACTATGAGAGAAAAGTTTACTTCAGCTTATAGCTGAAGTGAAGTCAAGACTGGGACTCAAGCAGGAACATGGAGGCAAAACCAGAAGCAGAGACCATGCAGGGATTCTGCTTACTGGCTTGTTCTCCAAAGCTTGCTAAACCTGCTTTCTTATAGAACTCAGGACCACCTGTCCAGAGCTGCCCTGGTACCCAGTGACCTAGGCCCTCCCACATCAATCATTAATCAAGAAACACCCTACAGACTTGCCTATAGGCAATCTGATGGAGGCATTATCTCAACTGAGGTTCCTCTTCCCTGATAATTCTAGTTTGTGTCAAGTTGACAAAAACAAAAAACAAAAAACAAAAAACCAAACTAACCAGGACAATTGAAACCCTTGTCAGTTTGCATATCAATACAATACTAAATAGTAATCTTTACTTGTTTACCAATATCAACATGGTAATATAAAACATTCCAACTTTTAAAAGTCCCACCGTATTTAAAAATTCAAACATTTTCAAAGTTCAATCTTTTTAAAATATCCAAAGTCTACAACTTATGGACACTTGTAAATCAAAAAGAAGTTAAATACCTTCTTATTTCAAGAGGGAAGAATCAGGACATAGTTACAATCAAATCAAAGCTAAACCAAGCTCCAACAATGTAAATCAAATCTTATAGCTCAGTGTTTTGTACCTGAAGTTTATTCATGATGTTCTGGTCTCCAAAGAGCTTAGGCAGCTCTGCCTCTTGTGGTCTGTCATTCACAAACATGCAGCTTCTCTTGTAGGTTTAGGCCAACACCAGTCGGCACTCACTGCTGTTCTTGGCAGTCATCCATGGTTTGTCCATCTGCAATATATTGGGGTCTGCATTGCAACTGGACTGCACCTTCACCGATACTCCTCTTAAGCCCTCTTCAGGGATTCTGACACTGCTACATGGTACCAAACCTCAGCTCCTCACCCTGACCCCATAAATCCTGGCGTTGTCATTGCAACTGAGGCTGCACCCTTATCAATGTCATCTTCTGGTGCCAAACATCAACTATCCTTCATGACCCCCACATGCACTCAACACCCATGTCACCTTGAAGACTTTTATATATTACCAAATTCAGTTGACAGCATGAGTGGCAGCCTTGGCCTTCTCTGGACCTCAGCTTCTGTGTGCTGACCATGAGGAAATACTCCCAGAAAATTCCATTTCAATGATGCTAGCGTCTTCATAATCATGTCTGACTTGTGTTTATGTTTTTGTTTTTCAAGACAGGGTTTCCCTGTGGCTTTGGAGGCTGTCCTGGAACTAGCTCTTGTAGACCAAGCTGGTCTCAAACCCACAGAGATCCACCTGCCTCTGCCTCCCGAGTGCTGGGATTAAAGGCGTGTGCCACCAATGCCCAGCAATCATGTCTTACTTAACTCCAGCTAACCAGAGTCATTTGTCCCAGTGAAAGTTTCACTTCAGTGGTATTGGTCTATGGTTAACCATAGCTAATTCTTCAGCTCCACATGACCAGATAGATACACCAGATTCTTCTCACATCATTTCCCTTTGAAGTGTCACAAGCCAGGCTCCATTTCTCCAAGATAATGCACTGTTCTCAGTCATCTTCCAAATTTCCACAATAGCTCTTTAATCCCTCAACACTCATTGTTGTATTTTCCAGCCCAGTGTGTCAAACTCCTTCCACAATCCTCCCCTAAATAACATGGTCAGGTTTGACACATTATCCCCCCACTCTTGGTACCAATTTTTGTCATGGTTTACTTTCTATTGCTCTGGGTAAACATGACCAAAAGCAACTTCCATAGGAAAGGGTTTATTTCGACTTTCAGTTGTTTCATCATGAAGGAAAGTCAGGGCAGGAACTCAAAGCAAAAACCAGGAGACAGGAACTGAAGTGAGGGCCATGGAGAAGTGCTGCTTACTGGTTTGCTTCTCTTGCTCAGCCAGTTTTCTTACGCAGCCTAGCCTGAGACTGGCACTGAATATAGTAATTTAGGCCCTTCCTCATAATCATTAATCAAGAAAATACACCATAGCCAATATGATGGTGGCATTGACTGAGGTTCTTCTCATATAACTAGTATCAAGGTAACAAAAAACTAGGAGAGCTACACAACATCCTTCTTCCTAGGGCTGCACTTGTATGTGACAGGCATGTAGGTAATGTGTTAGTATGATTTGCAGCAGGTATGGCTTAAAATGCCATGTTGTGCTCGAAAAACCAAAAAAAAAAAAATGCCATGTTGTATTGAATTTGTAAGAATCTAACTGACTTTCTGGTTAAGGCAATGGTGTACTCTGGGTATATCTTAAGTATTGAAAGTCCTATGCTCCAAACAAGGCAAGATGCTTAGTCATCTCAGCTCTAGTCTGCTCTAGTCTTCTCCAGTCACTGATGCTGGACAAGAAGCAAAATTTGGCAAGTTAAGGTGGATAGGTGATTAAACACTGGTTATACCAGTTAGTTTTTGTCAGCTTGACACAAACTCGAATCCCCTGGGGAGAGAGAACTTCTACCGAGTAGGAACTGCCTCCCTCAGATTGACCCATGGGCATGTCTGTCAGGCATTTTCTTGATTACTATTTGATATAGGGTGGTTCAGCCCATTGTGGACAGTGCTATCCCTGGGTAGGCAGTCCTGGGTTCTGTAAGGAAGTCAACTGAGGAAGGCAGAAGAGGAGGCCAGCCAGTAAGCTGCATTCCTCCATGGTTTCTCCTTCAGTTCCTGCCTTCAGGGTCCTGCCTTAGCTTCTTTTGATGGTGGACTTTAACCTGTAATCTAAATAAGCCCTTTCCAACCTGCATTGCTTTAGGTCATAGTGCTTATCTCAGCAAAAGAAGTAACTAAGACACAGGCTTTAACCCTTTTTTGAAACAGAGTGGAGGTATTCTTTGACAGGTACTCCAGCAGATGGCTGATAAATGGATGGATGCACTCTGTGTTCTACTCACAGCCCTGATGGAAGTTGGCTTATTAGAAAGGAAACAGGTCTAGACAATTGAAAAGTCTGGGAGCAGCAAAAAATGGAATTAGTTGGTAAGTGACTTTCAAACAAAGTCTTCCATTATTTTTCACTACAACAGGATATATTAAGGCTACAATTTCCATTCTCCTCATTCCAATTGAAGGTGGTGGTAAAGATAAAGGAGTTTGCAGTTCATCTTTCTATATAATTATTCCAATCACTTGATAGACAACAGAGATAATTGAGCCACCTCAAATAGCAAATACATTGTATATTGATTGAGCTCATATGTATACCCTTAATTTGAATACTGCATTAAAATGTAGATACTGGTTTGGTTTCTGGCAGACACAACCATTATTAGGGGTATGTCATGATCTAAGAGGTGTGTACGGAAGTGTAGGATTGATGAGAACACTTCTTTGCTGTTTAGCCAATATAAACAGTACCCAGGCACCAGATATAGCAAGAAAAATTTCCTTTCTATTTTATTCATTCACAGTGTGTTATGATACAGTTGACATCAGGAAAAGGCTCAGGCCATGTTCACTGGGATAATGGCAGCCTTCCAAAATAGAGTTAAATGTTGTCTTAATTATAACCTTGTAAGACATGAGAAATAATTGCTAAATAGCAAAAATCTTAATTTTTATACCTCTAATATATGGTGGTTGCGTGTTACATTTACTCTGATTTGCTGTAAAATACCATTTAAAAATATTGTAGAGTATAATAGTTCATTGTAATCTGTACTCTAGGGCAGTTTAACACTTGAAATATTGCAAAGGTGAATGCACACTTTTCTGGTATTTAAATTGGCATTAGAAGCATTTATCAAATGCCTAAGTTAAGAAAACTTATCTTAATTTTTCTTCTTTTTAAAAAGAACATCAGAAGTTGTGTTAATTATGATGACTGATATAAAAATGAATATTTACTTTTTGGTAGTGCAAATAAAGTTTATTTATATCAACCCAAAGCAGGGTTTTTGCTTGAACTATTGGTCCAATTGGGAGTCATATATCTTGAGTGACAACTTATAGCCTTGTGAAGATACCCACATTTTTGGGTTCTTATAAGTTCTACTGAAAGAGTTGAGTGGCCTGAGGTCAATGTAAATAAATAAATAATAAGGGGCTACAAACCATTCTTAAAGTACTTAGAGCCTGTGAATCAAATTAACAAATTGTTTAATAAAACGTGTTCTTTTCTCTACCTCGTTGAATGTATGTTCATAACAACAGATTAAAAGATGGATAGAGCCACAGTTTTTCTAAGATTAGTCTAGAAAGTGAGCATGTGGTTCAGTGACACAGTACTTGGCAGATTTCCAGCCACAGGTATTATTGCCTGGTGTTTTATGGTGGAAGGCTGGTTTTAAATGATTAATAGCATAAAGATACATACTTATTTTATTTTAATTTTTTGAGACAAGATCTTTCTATGTAGCTTTTGTTGGCCTGGAACTCAATATGTAGAACGAGTTGGGCTTGAACCTGATGTTTTTGCATGGGGCTTATCTGCATGCTTGACCATACCTGTCTGTGATTTATATAACTATTAACCATATAATTTAATTATATAATTATAACTTACAATTAAATAATTATTGTTATATGGTCATTGAATACAATTATTGTTACAAATATTTACTTCAGTAAAGCCACTGGTTGTCCTTATTAAAATTATCACACAATTTTTTGGTAGTATTTATCAAAATATTAAAAATGCAGTTAAATTCAAATCCCAAAAGTGTGAACTTTTCTTTCTAAACTATAAAAATAAATATTGAACACTAAGAAATTATGAAGTTATGTTCATGTATTTAAATTATAAAATTTTAGAATTATAAAATTGTAAACTAAATATGAGCCTAATTAATGACTTAAAATTTTAATATAAAATTATCCATATAGAATTGATACTTTAAACTTAATGTTTTGGGAATATAATCAAATTCTATCATGTTTGGAAAAGTGAATCATTTCCTTATACTGAAGCCACTTTTGTGTCTGCACAGCCTGGAAACTTTATTCAGGGCATTTGAGACTCAAGCATTTTCCTGGAGTTCTCCATTGCTGGAGTGGTACAGCGTGTTCCAGGTTATTAATATTGAGTGTTGGATCCCAAGTGGTAAAAGGTATCCATTTATTTCTCAATAATTTTTTAAATTTTATTAACCAATTTATTAATTGTTTTAATGTGGCTTTGATAGTCTAGAATTTCTAAATCTTGGCTGAGAACCAGAATCAGAAGGTGTATTCATCCCTTCTCTGTTGCCGTGATAAGACGCCAGGAATCAAGGCAACTTACAGAGTAGAGGATGCTTGAGTTCACCATTCTAGAGGGATAGGAGTCCAAGATGACAGAGCGCGTGGCAGCTGGAGCTGACAGCTGAGCGCTTACATCTTGCACTGCAAACATGACAGAGCACAGTGCAAATCGTGCAACATTTTGAAACCTCAGCGCCTGTTTCTCGACATGCTTCCTCTAGTGAGGCCACACCTTAATCTTTTTTTCTCCTCTCCTTTTTTAAAATTTAAATTAGAAACAATTGTGTTTTACATGTCAGGCCACACCTTCTAAACTTACTCAAAGAATGCTACCAGCTGGGAATTAAGTATTCAAATACCCAAGACTAAGAGAGGACATTCTCTTTTAGGCCACCAGGGAAGGTAATAGTGCTTTTTTTACCAGCACTTTTGTTTTGAAAGGTATTGGACACCTGTAGTTACTGTAATGTCTTCTAGGCAACAGATTTCACTAGGTTCATACAACATGGTAAATACTTGTTTTATTTTAATAATTTACTTTATTTTATGTGCATTGGTGTGAGGGTGCTCTGTCCCCTGGAACTTG